AATGGTGGCTGTGAGAGCTAGAAAGAGAAGGGGCTTCAAAGAGAACAGGAGGGCAGATCTCCAGCTAGGAGGGTGCTTGCAGGTCTGGCTGCTCAGGGCAGGGTAGGTCTCTCTGCTAGCTACCTTGCAGGATGCTGCCGAGGAAGGAATCCAGCAGGTCCTCGGTGTCAGAGCTGAGCACGGAGCGGGAGAGGCAGGCAGAGAGGCCGTGCAGCGCGGCCAGGCACTCCGCCTCGACCTTCTCACTTGCTGTCTGGAACACCTGCAGGAGAGGCCGTAGGATGAGCTAAGCTCTGTGCTCTCCCCAACCGCAGGCTTGACACTCCCAATGCAGGCTGAAGGGCTCAGGCTCCCGCCTCGCTTCCCACGTGCTTCAAACATGCAGCAGAGCACATCCAAGCCCCAGGGACACACTGATAGGGCTGGCCTGTCCCCCCACTTTCCAGCTGGGTCTGTCCAAGGTGGGGGCTGCTGGGAGATATGGGGCCTGCCTGATCTGGTTGTGATCTCCTGCTCAGCAGAAGCCCAACTGTAGTGGAGCATTTGTAAGGGGCCCTGCGGTACTCACCTCCCTGCGCAGGGACGACCAGAGGCTGGGGAGGAATTCCTGCAGCTCCTTCTGCCCATAGATGGCACAGCAGGCAGTCTGCAAGAGGAAGCCGGGAGAAAGCATCAGAGGGAAGCCAGAACAGGGAGACACAGAGCAGGGACACTGCCTGTCCTGGCAGGCTCATGCTGAACTGCATGAACCACTCAAGGGAAGAGAAAAAGAGGAAGAAGTGATGCAGGCCGAACTGGGACCCTGGAAATTGTGGCTCTGCAAGGGAGAGTCTCTGGCTGGCAGGGAGAAGGGCTCAGAAGTAGCTGACTGCTGCTGCCACAGGCCAGCTGTGGGCTGAAGGGAGTAGGGGATCTCTCCTTACCAGAGTCTGCAGGGAGTCAAGCTTGGCACTTTGCAGGTCTGAGTCCATCTTCTCAATGAGCAGAGGGAGCAGGAACTGCAGAGAGAGGCACTTAGACTCAGCTCACCTTTACACCGCCTTGTCCACGGCCCTGCAGGGCTGCAAGCTCAGCCTCTCTCAGGAGAGCAGAGGTGGAGGGATACCTGCAACAGGCAGCCCCTTCCCAGGGTGTCAGCATCAGCACCCTCCCCATGCCCAGCCCCAGCAGGAGACAGGGCTGCCCTAGTGCATGCTCCTGGTCCCAGCTGTTCCCGTCCCACGGAGCCACAGCGGGAGCTGCAGCACTATGAAATGCAGCCTGTGCTCAGGGAACAGTGGGGTGTTCAAGAACCCCCTAGGAGCTTCCTACCTCAGCAAATTGGGGTGTGGAGGCCAGTACGGCCCGGAGGCTGAGGATCAGGTCTTCTCTCTGGATGCCGTGAGGGTCATTGGGGGGCTGGAAGGGAAGCACAGAGAGCAGGTCACCGGTCAGGAAACCTCCCAACCCAGCCATCAGCTGAGGCTGCATCACCTCATCTCCAGCAAGGCAGCAGCGATGCCAGTCACTGCAGCCAGCTTGGCACCGGCCTGCCAGCCTGGGTACCACAGCTCGCAGCTCAACACTGCCCAGCCAAGACTCTTGCCCACCCTCTCCTCCCATTCCCTGGAGGGGACACGACCGCCTGAGAAAACACCAGAAGGAACAGACTGTGGCACGGGACAGACTCACTCACTGGAGTAAAATCAATGGGGAAGTAGCAGGATGTCACTTCAAACAGCTCCTCCACAAAGGGACCTGCAGGGAGAGGAGAGAGGGAGTGAGCAGAGTTGCTGGGCAAAAGAGGCACAGCAGCCATGCCCAGCACCCATGACAGGCTGGCTCTGCAGCTCCTAAAGCATGTCAGGGACAACCTCAGCCCTGGTCAGACCCAAGGGCCATCCCTCCAACAGCTCAAAGAAAAGCGACATGTTCCCCGATCAGCTCTGCACGGTAGGCACAGGCTCACCCAGGGCGTAGTTCTTGGTAATGAGATCATGCACGATCTGGAAGGCCACCAGCAGGTTGCGGGGATCCTTCTCCCCGTCCATCACCTGGATAAAGCCGAAGGTGAAGTCGGCACCCAGGCCCTTCAGCTCTGCAGAAAGAAGGAGCGTGAGCAGGAGCAGGACACCAGACCTCACCAACATGCAATGAAACCAGCCTGGCTTCCCCAGCCCCACAGCCCTTCCAGCTCTCCCCAGGCAGAGCCACAGAGACCTCGGAGAAGGTGATAGCGAGCCATTTTCCCAGCCTGGGCAACCCCAGCGTGGTTCTGGCATCTGCCCCCTCACCTTCCTCCCTGGTGCCCATGAAGTTGGTGATGATGCTGTAGACTGTGTGGCGGTCCAGCTGCATCAGGGACTGGAGGGAGGAGCAGAGCAATCAGAACAAGCCTCCGCACACGGCAGCACTGCTACCCACCACCCAGGGGCAGCGCATGCCCTTGAGAAGAGGGCAGGATCCCCAGCAGCTCAGCTGCTGCTTCCTGACATGCAGATCCCATTTACCACATGCAAAGTGTGCGCATGCCTATGCGATGGCACCTGAACATGACTGTGTCCATCACTGCATGAATGCACCGTCACAGTCACACCAGGGCCACACATGCTGCCCAAGGCCCTGCCAGCATAAACAATCTTAAACTGGCGGAGAATTTGGGGGCTGGGGGCACTTAAACACAGCCTGGAAAACAGAGCAAAGGAAATAACTGCCCCAGGGCTGAGAGAAGAGAGGACAAGAGCCAAACAGGATCCTCAGCTGTTGTCTGCCTCTCTCTCTGCAGAGAGACACGCTGTCTCTAAGCTCTGCAGGAGCACTGCACTGCTGCTGAAGGATGTGCTACACTGCACTGCTACTGAATGCAACTCAGTCCTCAGGGCAGGCAGGCCATCCCCAGATACCCGGAGAGCAGGGACAGGAGGATGGGAAATCACATTGCTCACCTGCACGTGTACCTCCTGGAAGATAGCTTTGAGCACAGACACTGCTAGCCCTGGGGACAGCACCTCACACATGCTCTGGGGACAGGAAAAGAGAAAAGCAAGAGAGAAAACCATGATGGCAGACATAAAACAGAGCTCCTGCTTCTCTACAGCAGCCACATGCAGGATCCTCTCCTACCCTGGGGAGAGCTCACCACCCCCACAGGACAGGACAGGACAGGACAGGATACCTATCACCTGTGCTGCTCCCCAGGGTGACCAGGGAATCCTTGTCCCAACACCAGCATGGGGCAGGAAATCAAGGCAGTCTCCTCTCTCCTGCCCCTCTGCAAGGGGCACAGCAGGAGCACTGAGGAGACAGGGCAATGCCACCGGGCAGGAGCTGACAGCCCAGCCGGGCCCTACTTGACGTGCTGCTGCAACCTGTACCCTGGTGTTGCACCTCCCCAGCACCACTCTGGAGCACATCCTGGTGCTGCAGGCTGGGGGGCGTGAGCTCACCAGTGCTCGGAGTCCCTGGAGCACCGAGGGGATCACGAGGTGATGATCTTGCAGCCGATTCTCATAGAACAGGACCAGGTGCAGCACTATCAGAAACAAGACACCAACGTGTGTTAGTCCTGGGAAATGCAGCTGCCGGGCTCTGGCCCCAGCTCTGCCAAAAGCAGCTGCCGGATGAACAGCAAGCATATCTCACACTGGTGAACGGGATTAACTGCCGCTGTTGGGTGCATCCACCTGGCTCCCATGCCTTCGCCCTCGCCCTGTGAGCAACCCACGTCTGACCGCAGCAGGGCAGCACCCACCTCTGGCCGCTGCAGAGGTGCTGGAGCTACCCAAGAGGCACTTGCCCTGGCCTGTCCAGACACGTGGGTGCAGACACCAGCAGTGAAGCGGCAGACGCCTGCTCAGCCAAGGCTGGACGATGTTGTGGGGTGGGGCGCAGGACTGGAGCAGGAGCTCCGGCTTCCCCGCGCTGGCTCCACAACACGTTCCCGGCCCCTGAGTCACGGCCATGGGCGCCTGCACACCCCGGCCCTGGGGAGTGGCAGCAGGAAGCAGACTGGAAGAGCCGGCTAGCAGCATCCTGTGCCCACAGCTGCTGCAGAAACTCACCCCCCCAGGAGGCAGCCTGACGCAGCGCTTGAGAAGTGAATTGCGTGAGGAGGGACACGAAGGGAGACGGGGCCGGCTGGGGGTGTCACAGCAGCTGCCTATGTCCTCCTGGGAAGCTGGCTCTGCCCACCCTCCTCCAGAGCTCCTGGTGACTTGGCTCTAACCCAGCTCGCTCCCCTCACCCAGCTGCCCTGACTCTGCCAGGCCTCCCCACCCCAGCTCTCCCTCCGGAGTGCCCCAGTCCCCATCACAGTCATCACACCCGACTCCAGCTACACCAGTAGCTAGTCTGTCCATACCCGCTCTGCACAGCTGCTCTTGGCCCTGCCTGGCACCAGTGTGAAACTTACAGTGAGCCAAACGCCAAGGACTAAGCACCTTTTACTTCCATCCTTCCCTTCCTCCACCTCACTTACTAGCTGGGCCCTCCTGCCTTGCCAGCCTGCTGGCACAGGTTCAGCTACCCATCAGCAAGGCCCCCAGTCCAAATCAAAGTTTGGCAGCGCTTACTGGCTTCCCCTGCTGCCAGCCAGTTGCTATGGGGCATTTAACACAGGCAGACCTTCTCCTTGCCTCCTCGAATGGGGCATCTTCCTCTCCCCACTCCGGTCCTCCGCTCCACTCTCATCCTTACGCTGATCTCCCCTCCTCCCCAGGCCCCAGGGTTCCCCCAGAGTTAAGCTGGGCAGGCCACAGGGCTGCAGCGTGACTAGCTTTATGAAGGATGGTTTTCCTGCACTGAATCACCACCCAAGGATTTTGACATGCAGATGGGTCCCCAAGGCGTCCCACGTGGTGCTGAGCACGCCTGGGTGTGCAACACCCACACACTGCTGGGGGCACCAGCTGCAGCGCCAGGGCTTTGGCGTGTTCAGGGAGTGACCCGAATTGTGTGGTGAGGTTGGCAAAACGGCTGCAGCGTGAGGCCCCGTGCCCTCCTTGGACTTTGACTCTTGAGAGACATGTACAAAGTTGTCACGGTGCTAAATCAATCCCTTTGCCAACTGCAGGACAGAGGCTCGAGTGGCACAGGCTTTGCCCCCAGCCTGCCGGCAGCCACTCAGGAGCGCAGAGGAGGCACTACCTTCCTTCTCC